ATTCCGGCGATTATTTCAATATCGCTATTCTCTATATTTTATTAGCGAAAAAGCAGTAATTTGTATTCGATCTGTCTCGGCGACTTGACTTCGTTCTTCCTATTCGTGTTCGTTCTATTCGGTCTACTCGGCGATACGATTGCATTTGCTTTTTTCGCTACAGGGGGGGGAGGGGTGATAGGAGATGGATGGAGCAAAACAGATCAGAAAAAAAAAACAGTAGACCTAAGTAGACAACATGATAAAATTACTTGACAGCGAGCTTTATAATCAAATTACTGACCTGTTTGATGGATCCGAACCGTACAGATCACAGGAAATAAGAATACGTACAAATTACGAATAATTAGAACCAGTTTTATTACTTCAGATTTTGAGAATAATTTCAATTATGAGAGAAGCTAAAAGATCTGATCGATTATGGTGGTTGTTTTGCACCGATAGCAATGTTCAATTTTACAATTTTTGGAACAATGTAAATCTTTCTTTCCTTAAGCGACCGTTTTGTTTGGCCTTCTAAACGGGAAAAAACCTTTTGTTTCCCTACATGCCTGAAACAAAGAGTATGAAGCGTTTCCGGGTTTCCGAATTGCTTTGTTGGGTTTTTGGTGTTAACAGGACTTATTTTGTAATCCTTTATTCAAAGCAGATGCCGACAATTGTGGGTTGGTGATTACGTTTACTGTATATTGTATAAAATATGTTGAATGTCGACAAAATTGTCGACACCCTCAGCTCGCCTTTAATGCTCTTTTATCCTCTTTCGCTACTCTGCCGCCATGATGCTATGGTTGACGATGTTAAAGCTCTAAGAACAGCAAGTCGTGGTGCCAGACGTTAAAACAATATCCGTTGAGCCTTGCCTTGCACCAGAAGTGTTACGACAATTCACAACGCCGCCTTTTTGATCACGGTCGTTTGACATGACATTCTGACATAGCCTTTCCTCTCCAGTCTTTACACCTTTCATTCCATCTCTACCGTTTTCAATATTTATAGACCCTATCTTTTCGCTTCTGTAGTAAACTCCATTTTTTTCTTTAAAAATTGTAAGCTATTTAATACTCAACACTCTTCTACTGTTACTTTTCACGTTTTCTTAAAATATGAAAATCTGCATTTTTTTCTCCATCTGTTCCTGACCACGTTTGTCGTTCACTTTATATTTTCTTACATATTTTTTGACAACTGCTATACAATTTACAGTAACGAACAAAAATAACTAGCAGCTTAGCTCATGTAACAAAGTTGCTACAGTAATAATGTAACGAGGTGTAAGTTAGAAAATAATTGCATTTCCATACTTCTGTCTAAAGCTAACCTAGAAAAAGATTGCCCTACGGATAATATAAAAAAATGGACAAGAATGTGTTTATGACTGTTTTCCTCACCTGGTGGCGTGTTTAGTCTAAACCTTATAATATTTCTTAAGGTGTTCTTTATACAACTTCCATCAATCAATAAACCAGCCATTAGTGTTGGCCTTTGACAAGGTTATTACTATTAAGAAGGTAAAAAGGTATTTTAGGGAAATAAAGGCACTTCAACATTTTTAGTAGAAGAAAAAGGGCTTAAAAGCGAAGAACTGGTAAAATGAACAGACTGAATGACGATAAACTGCATAGTATCAGGAGCACCTTAATCACACGCGCAACGCAAAAGCAAAAGCACGCTTAACTAAGTAACTTGTATGGAGTTTAAGTAACGCACTGAAAAGGTGCCGAAAATGCTGGGCATGTCCCATAAAAAATATTCCTACTGCGCAAAATTTTTGGCGTCGGTTTAAGGATAAACTCCCAGTGTGCTTTTTGATGTTTCTTTGCTCAAATTTAGGTGGGCTGATGCCTGCTTCTTTGACGAAGTACAGTCAATTCAGCGCGAAAACTGACGTCGCGTCACTGACGGGACCGTTTCTGGAAAGAATTACCAAATGATTAAAAGCCTTTCAAAGTAAGGTGTGCATTGCTCTCAGTGTCACTTATAACTTTATTATCTGATATATAGGCGCCGTCATTTCTAATTTCCGTTTGGTGGCAGGACCAGAGTTACCGCAGTACGGTCGGCCGGCAAGTTTTAAAAATGCTGGCCACTGGTCAAGTTCGACCCTGTTTATCAAGTTTATTTTTGGTGTTTTGCGGAATTTTTTGCACCATTC